GACAGGGCTGTGTTAGACACAGGCTTCCCAAGCCTGAGGCAGGCTTCTCTCTCGGGCAAGTGGAGTCCGGCCCAGGGAGAGGCTGAGGCTGGATGCTCTGAGCGTCCATTCTGGCCTGGGCAGGCAGCAGCTTCACAATCAGGAGAAAGCAGGGTTACAGCGAGGGGCTGGTGTCTGCTCTCGTGGGACTCCTTCCTGTGCCACTCGCCAGGGAAGCAGGGATGGTCATCTCTCCTGATACCAAGAAAGCCACATCAAGATGCCCAACACAGGGTACAGGCCTGCCCACATAACCAGCTGGGCATGTGCAGTGCTTTAACCTCTCTGTGCCTCAGTTTACTCTTCTGTAAAGATGAGAAAAATAATACAACCTGCCTCGTGGGGCTGTTGTGGGCAATAAACGAGATCATGTATATAAAGCATTAGAATAGATCCTGCACATTTGTGAGTGCTCAACAAATACTGGGTGCTGTTGAGGAGGAGGAGGAGGAGGAGGAGAATTTGCTGGAGGAGGGGGTTGGGGTGGCCAGGAAAGCCATTCAGATAAGTTGGATGTTTCAAGGAGTGAAAATGAAAAATCTAAGAGAAATCCGGGACAGATAGCGGGTAGGATGAAGAGGAATTTTTTTATTTGGAATAATCCTTTGGTCATAGCCTTTGAATCTAGAACAACCCAAGGGTCTCTGTGACTGGGGCTTTGTGACTGGGGAACCTACTCTGAGGCACTGTGGTTCCTGCATAATAAAATTCCTTATGTTGAGAGAAAGGGCGCTCCAACACACCAGGTCTTGACTCATCCAGTAACTTCTCTCAAGTATATGATGTTACCCCCATGTTACAAATGAGGGGACTGAGGGCACAGAGAAGTTAAATAACATGTCCAAGATCACGCAGCTAGTATATGAATGGTCCTGGATTCAAAAGTATACATTGGTAGCTCCAGAACCCATTCTGCTTCCCCAACCTGGCTGATTTCAGAGCCCCTTTCCCCCTCCGCCATGATGCTACATGGCTGGCCAGGACTTCAGCATCCCCGATCCTCTTCTTGCCGTCCTCTGACCCACCGTGTCTCTCCAGAACTCCCCTGCCCTCTCTGAGCCTCAGTGTCCTCTTCTGTTCAGGGAAGACCCAGGTTTCCCCACTGACACAGAACAGGCAGAGTTGGGGGGTAGCTCAGCTCCAGTCCATCACCTGCAGCAAAAGCTGGGGGGGAGGGGGAAGGAGATGGAGAGCAGGAGAAAGCTCCTGGAGGGGCACCCAGACCTTGCAGGGGAGTCTGCTCCACAGACAGGGGTCGGGGTTTCTTTCCCACAGTGGAGGGTGCCAACTGCCTCCCGACTCTGTTCTGCACACAAAGCACCTGTGGGAAGCCTTTCTCACCCCCCTGACCAGCCCTGCCCCCTACCTCTCACCCCCATCAAATGCTCAGACCTGCAAAGCCAATTGCCCAGTGAACCCCGGCACCTGTATTTCAACATGATTGAAACCGAAAATCACTGTCTCCCTCCTCCCACCTCAGCCTGCTCCTCCCCCGGTGCTGCCTGTCAGGGTAAAGCGATACGGCCATCCACCCTGTCACCTACTCTGAAACCCAAGTGTCATCCTTGCCTCTTCTTCCCCTCCCCCATGCCTCCATCCCCACATCCATCAGGCACCAAGTCCCACTGAGCCATCTCCTCACTATCTCTCAACGTCATCCTCTTACCCATCATGCCTCAGTTCCAGTCTCCCCCATTTCCTGCCTGGACCACTTCATGGCCTCCTCCCTCCTCTCCCTGCTTCCTTTCTCATCCCACCCGAGTCCACCCTCTACATGGTGGCCCGAGAGATTTTTCTAAGTCCCAAACTCATCTCTCAACCTCTTGCCTCCAGCATTTCGCTCATGAGGCTCCCTGCTGAGGCTTCTACAGCCTTTCCCCTGGTGTCCCCAGCCCTCCTCTGGGACCAGCTACATAATCGATGGGCCCAGTATAAAATGAAAAATTGTTCAAATAGTAGGAAATAAATGCCATTAAAGGTGTTAAAATATAAAGCCTTTTCCTTCCTTCCACAGTTTCCTTTTCCTTCCCACATGTTTTTTTACTGCCTATTTACTGTTGTGGGGGGCAAGTGCAGACCCTCACAGGCACTCCCCGACCTCCTTCATGACCCACTGCATGCTCAGTCCGCCACCATCCAGCAGCCAGACATCCTGTCCCTTGGCTAGAGGTGGGGAAGTGGAGGCAGGCATCTCGCTTCCCACAGGCTTGCTGCCTCCACCCAAGATGGACAGCCAGCACACAAGGGTATGTTTACCTCTGCTCCAGGAGACACGAAGTATCTGGTTGGGGGATACCATAGGCTCCACCCAGCAGTCATTCACTGAGTGGGCTATGATCCTGTCAGCCCAGGGTGGGGAGACACCCAGAGTCTTGAGACACCCAAGACCCACGTGTACCCAACCCTGAGCCCAGCTCAGGACACCAGTGGGGAGAGACTAAGCAGTGTCTGTCTGTTGAGGTGGGAAGCTGGTAGGAGGTGGCAGGGGGGGAACTGTGTGAGGGGGCCATGGCTCCAAGCTACTGGGGCACGTCCCATTGTCCCATTGGTCTTCACTCACAAAATAAGGATTCAAAGATGAAATCATTTAAATTTTCTGTACTGTAACCACAGATCATTAAACTCCAAGCATGGGGCCCTTCTGAGTGTGGGCCCCAGAGCGACCGTATAGGTCACATGCCCATGAAGTTGACGCCATCCTCATCCTTCACATCTCAGGGTAAACATCTCATCCTCTGGGAAGGACTAGGTCCTCCTCCAATATAATATCATAGTGTCCCAAATCTTATACATTTCCCATCTCATTTTAACTACTTGTGTAATTGGTTTAATTATAATTATTTGTTTAATTGACTTAATTAATTAAGCCCTGTGAAGATTGGAACTATGTCTACTTGGTTCCCAATTATATGCCCAGCGTGTGCCAGGGATATAATAGGCACTAAATAAATATTTGCTAAATGAATGAGAAAGTTAATGAAGAACTGGTCCTTGGGCCTTCCTTCTTAAAAACTATGGGTTATTTTGGATGACCTAAAAGTCCCTAACTTTTCTCAGAAACCTACAAAGCAGCCAATAGGTTAAGAGAGAGATTAATGTCTAATTTCCCTTCCTGCTGGTCTAATTCCTCTCATTTCCCTCCTGCTGGATTGTACAGAGATGAACATATAATTGACATGTGGGAATAAAGAGGCCACAGCTAGAAACTGGCTCTGTGACTCTGAGTATCACCTACCCTCTCTGGGCTTCACCCCAAAGGGATCAGATTAGGATCCTTCACTGACTGTTAATAGTCTGTCCAACTTTGATATTTGAAGCGATGTTCACTGCTTTGGAAAGGTTTCTGGTCAGGTTTACCTCTTCCAGGAAACTCACCTGTGCCTGTGAGCTCTAGACCTTACCCAAAGCTTTGTAACTCCATCCCACAAGCAAAAGGAAAGCTCACAGGACCAGGCAAAATTTTTAGGGCAGCCATTTTGTTTCAAGATGGAAGACGACAGTGTAATTTAACACCCCACAGAGGGCAATTTCTTTTGAAAGTAGTCAACTTCTTAAGGAGTTGAAGTGGAACAAAGGCCCAAAAATATGAAATCACGAAGAGTGGGTTGGACCCAGAGCCCTCCTGGATTCAGGGACGTGGAATATGAGGCCTGTCTTGTGGAAGGCTCAGCTCCCCCTGCCAGCCCTGGTTGTATGGGCCCTGCCCACAGTTCATCCCACTCTCCTTCCACACTCAGGAGCTCAGAGTTTTTTCTGTTTATAGCCAAGCACACACTTAAAAATCCCAGCTTCTTACCAGCTCAAGATAGATTCCCATGGAAACCGGCAAAAAGGAGGAGAGGCAAAGATAAATACCTTTCTTTCAGGCCCCGGATGCATGTTAATTGGCCTCCTCCCTCCCACCCCTGTGGTACAAATGCAGGAAAAAGCCTGTTGAGATGGTGGGTCCATTGTCTTGTCTCCTCGGGGGCCTAGACAGTAAATGCCTGAGAGCCCCATTTCTATGACGGCTTCCCCTAGAAGTTCTCATGCTGTCACCACGGGGGCAACACAGGGCTCATAAGACCAGGTCCTATAAGACCAGGTCCTAAAGTCAGAGAGGCCTGAGTTCTGTGGCAGGACTTGCATGAGGGGTGACCCTGGGCAAGGTACCCAAACTCTCTGAGCCTCAGTTTCCTTGTCTTTTACATGGATTTAATGGTGTTGCCTCACGGGGCGCAGTTAAGAGAATTAAGAAAGACAATAATGTAAAATATTTAGCACAGAACCTGGCATCCAATAAGCACATCGTAAATGGTAACCATGTTTACTATTATCTAGCCGTTAGGTCAAGTCAGCCCTTTACCTCCACAGGGCTCAGTTTCCTCATCGGTAAACCAGTGAGGTGGGGAGGGGCGAGGACAATTCGATCCTGGAATATCCCTTCCAGATCTGGCATTTTATGGTTCTGTGTCCATGTTATTGGTGAAGGAGCGAGGAGAACGTGGTATAGAGCTCTAAAACATGTGCTCTTTTGGAATTCCTAGATCCCACTCTCCCAGGAGACAAGTTCCTTCTGGATGAGATCCAGGAAAGGGAAAGTAGCACTAGGCCTCCATTGCTCAGTAGCTGACTTTACTAAACCTCAGTTCCCATAACTGTCAGATGGCACCACTTTATAGGGTTGTTGTGAGGATTCTCTGAGCTTCCTCTCCTCAGGAGCTTAGCACAGTGTCTGGGCACAGTGAGTAGTCGCTCAGCGCTGGATGGTAATATTACGGAACCCAGAAGTAGCAGGTTTACCCTGCAAAGCTGTCGAGTCGCCCCGTCAGCCCCGCAGGTGGCTGGGAGGGTGGGGTCTGTATCCTCAGGAGACCATCCACCAGCTCCAGCACCATCCAGGAGCATGCAGTCCACCAAGGGGGCCTCCCCCAGCCTGGGGCTGCAGGCCCGCAGGAGCGGGGGAGGAGGACCTCTCTTACCAGGCCAAGGTTCAGAGTGTTGTTGTCATCTTCTGGCATGGGCAGGTACACAGCCAGGGCCACACAGTTGGCAAAGATGGTGAGCAAGATGATCGTCTCAAAGGGTCTGGTGTCAGGGTTAAGGAGACCCCTTGAGTGAGGGATTGTGGGATTGGCCCCTTTAAGGGGGGTGGTACAATACAGGCTGATGGGCACCATATTGCTCCTTCCCTGCTCCCCTGCAGGTTGTAGAAATGGCCAGGTTCTCCTCGGGAACAGGTAACTTCCACTTAGATGTGATGGGAGCTCAAGGCTCTGGCTTCTGGCTGAGGGCTACTCAGCTTCAAGGGCCAGGAAGCCTTAAGGCTCCACAGCAAGCACCTGCCCATCCCCCAACCCTACCTGCCTGGCTCCTGAGGAGCCATGACTTCCCGAGATTCTCGCCAGACAACTTGAGGGGCTCACTCAGAGAACTGGCAAGGGATGCTGGGGGCTGAGTATCCGCAGGACAGGACGGGGAAAGGGGAAACTGCAGAGGTGGTACCTGAACACCCCCCTAACCGGAGGAAGGAATGGATAAGCCGACTGAGACAGCAGCCCACCCCGCCCCCTCCCCAGCCACGCTCACACACTGGCGTGCGCATCCCACACCCACTCACGCCTCGCTCCCAGTCACACCCACCCCCTTCACAGTCATTTCCCAGGGGGCACCCCCAGGCCCATTCCTTTATGGGTGAGCAGCCCAACCCACCCCATAGGCTGAGCCACAGGAAAGCCGGTGGTAGAGGTGGGGACAGGTTGGGGTGGGACGCCCACGATGCAGAAAGTCTGGACTGACTACCCCCTTCTCTTCCTGCCGGGGTTTGAGAAGAGGTGGGCCCCAGCAGCAGAGGCCTGCAGAGGAGAAGGCGCAGAGGTGCCGAGGATGGAGGAGAGAGAACCCCTCCCCCGGGGAAACCCAATCCCCCAGGAGACAGGCCAGGAGGAAGAGGCATGGGGTGCTCCCTGTCACCAGGTGCAGCTGTGGGCAGCAGGGCCGACTCTGACCCCAGCCATTCCAATTGGTCCCATGTTTTTCTTATCCTTCTGATTAGCCCTTAGTCCCCTTTCTTCTAGGAACAGCTGGTGGGAGCCCAGTCTTCCAGAACCCTACAGAAATATTTCAAATATTCCTGACCTCTCTCTGAGAAGGCACTTGACACAGCCGCTCCCCCCAATCTCCTTCCTCCCTTCCCCAAATAACCCAGATATTTTCATCATTCTTCCTCTCAGAGCTAATGCAAACAGAGAGAGGGATTGCAAGTCCCTGTCCCCAGGGTGGTATGTCTGAGCTAAAACTGCCAGGCATCTCGGCCTGCCCCCAGAGCCCCTCACAGCAGCCCTTTGTTCAAGGCCATTTCTCCCTTGACTCCATCCTCAGCTGGACTCCCCTCACTCGGCAATCTCTTTGCCTTCACACCCTCCCACCAAGGGGGGGAATTTTCTTGCAGAGGCCCCTGCTTTTTTCTCTCCCATCCTGTATCAAAATGAGACTGTCGCCTCAAACCCCTCAGTGAAGCCCCACGATAATGGGATTTGGGCACACCTGCGAACCGCCCCCGTGAGCCATCCAGGCCCCTTCCGCAGATGGTTGTCACCAGGCCTTGGGCCGAGCACTCAGGCCGCAGCGGCCCCGCCAGCTACTCTTTCCTCTCAGCTGAAGCCTTCCTTCCCAAAGGCTCCTTACACCCTCCTAGGGCAGTTCACCCCGTCTCCAAGTCCCCAGTCCCCTCAGCCCCCAAAGTCTGTGATCTGTGACCATGCCCTGCCTCCCTCTCCCATATCACACGGGCTCTGCCTGACACCCTGGAGGTCCCAAAGGATACTTCCATTCCACGATGTTGATGCAGGCCTTCCTCAGAGGATTCTGGAGGGTCAAGCAGAACAAGGCCCGGGGTGGCCTTGGCAGAATCTCAGGAACGGGCTTCTTGGGCTGTTTCTTCCTCAGGCCCTCATCCTGGGGTGAGGACGGCTCCATGGCTTTCCTGGTGGTCTCACTGTCTCCTGCTCCCCCACCCCGCTGCTCTCTCCTCCCTGCGTCCCCAGTGCCCACCGCCTTGGGGACTGGACCGGCTGAGCCTGCTGGGCCAAGTGTGCCCTGCTGAGCCAGCCAGGGGGCGGGGGCAGGAGGATTACTCTCCCTGCTCCCAGCAAGTAAAATTAGCCTCCACTGGCTCCCTGCTTGCCTGGCCTGAGCTCCTGAGGCCAGGCAGCTGTCATTCCTTCCCAGCCCAGCCAGTGACATCCCAATATGTCCCTGAGGAGGTTGGTAGGGGGTGGCGGAAGGAACTTTCACACAGGCCTGGGATGGGCTCAGTGGGAGACAGGATGGAAGGCTTCAAGGCTGGGGCAACAGAGCGTTCAGGAAGGGGGTAACCTATGATATGGAGCCTCAAACTGTGGACGGGCTCCCTTGTGCCAAGATGAGCTTCCCCCTGCTCCCAATCCCACAGCACCCTCCGTAAAGGTGCTGGGTGGCCTAGTTTGGCATATCTACACCACAGCCCCGTCCATCTCAGAACCTGTGGCTAGCTATCAGGCCAGACCTCGCCAGCACGTGCACAGCCCTGTCGGGGAAGGCTAAGTCCTCCACACCGGGGTGAAAGGCTCCCTCAGAAGAACCTCGAACGCGCACACTTCAGGCACCGCGTGTAGTGACTGTGCTTTGTACCCTCCTCCCTCCACTCCTCCAGCGCCTAACTGTACAAGGGTTGTGTCTCCTGCCTGGGACTCTGGCCCCTCCCTGACATTGTCCCTGGGATACACTAAGCTCTCTGTAAATGTTAGTTGAATGCAGAGCTAACCAGAACACCCCCGACACGGCACCCAGTAAGTGTTCCGAGCCGCAGGTGGGAGCGACAAAGGGGCACCAGCGAAGTGAGGTAGACAATGCTCTGGAATCACACAACTCAACAAATCTTTTATTTAGCTTCTTGGTACAAACACAGCGCCATATGGTCCCATTGCCCACAGAGGGATACAGTCTGAGGGGGGAAAACGCAGTCCTCAAGCAACCTGGGGGAAAAAGGATGAAAAGGCCACCCTGGGGGCCAGGGGTGGGGGTGGGTAATCGCCCTCCATGGAGGAAGCCGGAGGGCACCACCAAGGCACGCACATGGCCCCCTCCCAAGTCTGATCTGGGCGGAGTGCAAGCCGCAGTCTGGCCTCCTTTCCTGGGGGGGGGGGG